GGGGGGGGTTCAAACCCCGCCCCCCTTGGGAGGGAGTGGGGGGGGTCGGGAGGGGGGGGTTTGGGGGGGAGGGGTGTCCCCATGGTTTTGATCGACGGCGCCAGGTGTTGGGGGGGGTCCACCCCCGGATTCGAAACGCGCCGCCGAATGTTCCCAAGGCAGGCGCCCGTGAAACGTTTTTTCCGTTTTTTTTTTTTTTTTTTTTTTTTTTTTTTTTTTTTTTTTTTTTGTTTCTCTCTCTCTCTCTCATAGATCTACAGGGAACTCCAAAAAACTACGACCGCATGCCCGGGCTCATTCTCGCGGGCCTATTCGAGCATCATATGTTTGAAATTCCGTGTGTTGTTTCGTGCCCTGCCGTCAGCGCGCGAGTGATATTCGAAAACCTAGTTTAAACATGGTCACGGTTATCTTCCCCCAGATGTTATTCCGGATTGTCCTCCAGATCTTCACACAGATCTTCCCCCAGATGTTTCCTTTGATCTCCTTCGGATCTTCACCCAGATCTCCTCCCAGATCGTCACGCAGATCTTGAGGTCTTCCTCCAGATCGTTATTCAGGTCTTCTCCCCCGCTTCCCCCAAAAATCCCCCCCCCAGATCTTCACCCAGATGTTCGCCCAAATCCCCTTCTAGATCTTAACCCAGATCTTCCCTCATATCCTCGCCCAGATCTCCCCCACAGATCTTCCCCCAGATCTCCTCCCAGATCTTCCCCCAGATCTTCACCCAGATCTTCCCCCAGATCTTCCCCCAGATCTTTCCCCCAGATCTTCCTCCAGAGCTTTCTCCAGATCCAGATCTTCGCTTAGATGTCTTCGCGCAGATGTTTCCTCTGATTCCCCCTCAGATTTTTCCCCAGGTCTTCTTCCATATCGCCGCGCAGATATTTCTCCTGATCCTCCCCCAGATCTTCGTTTGGATGTCTTCGCCCAGATCTTCCCCCAGATATTTTCCCTGATCTTCCCCCAGATCTTCCCCCAGAGCTTCCTCTAGATCTTTCCCCCAGATCGTCCCCCAGATCTTTCCCCAGATCTTCCCCCAGATTTTCCCCCAGATATCCTCCCAGATCTTCCCCCAGATCTTTCCCAAAATCTTCCCCCCAATCTTACCTCAGATCTTCCTCCAGATCTTTTCCCAGATACCCCCCCCCCAGATCTTCCCCCAGATCTTCCTCCAGATCTCCCCCCAGATCTTCCCCCAGATCATTCCCCAGATCTTTCCCCAGATCTTCTTCCAGATCTTCCCCCAGATCTTCCTCCAGATGTTCCTCCAGATCTTCGCCCAGATCTTCCACCTGATATCACCCCAGATGTTCTCCCAGATCTTTCCCCAAATCTCTCCCCGGATGTTTCCCAAGATCTTCTGCCATCCATATTTTCCCTCATATCTTCCTCCAAATCGTCACCAAGATCTTTCCTCTGATCTTTCCCGCAGAGCTTTTTGTTCCTGTGCTTCCCCAATATATTTACCCAGATATTGTTTCAGATCTTCCCCCAGATCTTCCTCCAGATCGTCCTCCAGATCTTCACCCAGATCTTCCCCCAGATGTTTCCCCATATCTTCTCCCTCAGACTTTCCCCAGATCTTCCTGAGATCTTCCCGCAAATCTTGCTTCATGTTTACGACGCACTACACCGCCAAATCTCCCTCAGCACATTCCCCAGATTTCCGCCCAAATCTTCCACAAGATCTTCCCTCAGATGTCCCTCCAGATCTTCCTCCAGATTTCCCGCCAAGTATTATATCCGAGATGTTCCCTCAGATCTCCCCCAGATCTTCCGCCAACTATTTCTCCAGATGTATCGCTTTGCAATCGCGCCAAATCTTCCACTGGATACTCCCAAGATCTCCCGACAGATCGTCCCAGATCTTCCCCCGGCTGTTCCAGGGTGTCCTTTGTTTTGTTTCATGCCGCGTCGTTGGTCCAGTTATTGTTATGTGAATTCCTAATGTTGTTCTCTGCCTCGCTTCGGGGCTGCTATCATTACGCGACAACCTATAATTAACATCCCGTGTGTTGTGGACATACAGATGTCTATAGATGCACGTGCACATTTGTATAAACATGTACAGCCACACGCATATATATATGTGTGTATGTATGTATATGTATGCACATATATAGAGACATGTATATGTGTATGTATGTGTGTATGCATGCATGCATGTATTTATGCAGGCATATGTGTGCATATGTATGCTTGTATGTATGTATGTATGCATGCATGTATGTATGTATGTGTATGTATGTATGTGTATGTATGTATGTGTATGTATGTATGTATGTATGTATGTATGCATGGATGCATAGGTGTACGTTTGCCGGTACTTACGTGTGTGTATGTATGTATCTAGGTGCATCTAAATGCACAATATTGCATTGGTGCTTCGCGCGAAGCACCTTGGTCATTGATGCTTAATGCAGACGGGAGGGCAGGACGGTGAAACGGACAAGTTAGGGAAAAATCTGTGTCATCTTCTCGTTAAAATGAATGGTATTCAATATTCTTCCCTCATGCATCCTATGCCTCTCCCTTTCATCGCCCTGCCGTGTGAATTTGTCCCCATGCTTCTTATTTCTTTTTGTGGAGAGCTTCTTAGGGGCCTCACGACAGTTTTTAAGGGTTCCTTGGGGCCTTCTGGAGGCCTCCTGTGTTCCTTCTGGGGGCCTCTGGGGGCTTCCTCGGGCCACCCTGCTTCAGCCGCGGTCTCCCTGAACGACCTGGTTACGATTTGGAATGCTTCGGGGGGCGTCTTGGAGCCATCGTAGGCCGTCATGGGGTTCTCTCCTCAGGCCATATCGAGGCCCTTTTGGGCCGTCTTGAATTCTTGGACTGCCTGGAAGCCCTTTGCCTCCTCTCGAGGAGGCAAAGGGCTTCCAGGCAGTTCGAGGCAGTGCTCAGGGACAGCCCCGTCTCTGAATAGTTTGGGGTAGTTTGGGGGCGGTTTTCTAGCCTCCTCGGCGGTCTCGGACGCCTGGAAGACCAAAGAACTGAGCATTCCCAAAATTATACAGAGACTGTGGGAACTCAAGCAGGATCTTCTTTCGAACGTCTTCGGGCGTCTGGTGTGGGTGTCTGGCGCCTCTTGGGGCTCTCGCGGGGCCGTTCGGCCGCCCTCCTGACCGCTTGGGCCCGCTGCCTAGGCCCAGCGGGGCTTCCAGGAGCCCCGCCCGGAAAGTCCGGGGGGGCCTTCTCTGCAGGGGCATTCAGGGCCCCCCCCCCCAGGCCACGGATCCGGCGGGTCCCGTTTTCGGCGGGAGGGGATTTGATCCACCCCCAGGGTTGCAAAAATATGGGAAGGGCATACCTATACGACCACCCTTCGGGTGATAAAGGAGTTTTTTTTTCCGGGGGGGGGGATAGGAACACCCACTGACAACAACTGCGATGACTGTGGTGGCGATGAGATGGCGACACTGCGCTGCACGATGACGCTCAGGGTGGTAATGAATCATGGCGACTGTATTCGATCGTGAGATCTGTTGTGGTCGATCTCGCTATCGATCTCACTATCGATATCACAGCAGATCTCACTGTCGATCTCACACCAGATCTCACACTTGATCTCACTATCAGTCGCACTATCGATCTCACCAACGATTTCTCTAACGCTCTCGATATCGATCGCACTATCGACCTCACAAGAGATCTCACGAGACACCCTCGGGACACCACGATGGGGCCCCCCCAGCCACGGGGGGGCACCCCCAGCCCCAAGGTTGGAAAAAGATAGGAAAGCGCATGTATACACATGACGAGGCCAGGGCGGCGGGCACCTTGGGCCAGAACCTCTACCACAGATGTGTGCCCTGGGGGCCCAGTCCGCTTCTGAGAGGCCCCATGTTCGCCCCCCAGCGCCAATGCCCTCTAGCTCAGTCGGGCTGGTCCTGGCCCCCCCCGGGACGCTCCCGACAAGGTGCCGCTGCTGGAAGGACCCCCCGAGGCGAGAGGGAAACCTCCCGAGAGCCGACGAGAGCGTCAGAACGAGCCTCCTAGATGGGGTCGGAGTAGATGGGGTCGGAGGATCGCGCCGCATCGCCGATGCATCGACGTTGCGGCTCGATGCGGAGCCCGATGCGATCTGCTTCGCGCCGACGTCGACGATGCATTGCCAGCGTCGCTGGTGCATCGCCAATGCATCGGCGATGCATCTGCGATGCATTGGCAATTCGGTACGATCCTCCGACCCCATCTACTCCGTCCCCATCTAGGAGGCCTCTATCCGGGGTCCTTTTATCTTCGAGCCCTGGGGGTAGGGCGAAAGGGGGGCATAGGGAAAGCGGGAGGACGACTTCTTCTGTGATGCGCTTGCGACCCCGGCGGCGCCAGAAGGCGCCGGGGAAATCGGCTACGAGAGCTGATTCGCTGTCCTGCGGACAAGCGAGGGGGGCCTGGGCTGCTTGGGCGCCTGGGCTGCCTTGCCGTTGCTGAGGGTCTCGAGCGCCAAGGGAAAGAAGCCCGCCGCCTGCACGGATCCTTCCGAAGCAATCAGGCCGCTGCTGGTGCCGATGTTTTTGTAAACAAACTCAGGGTGGGTCGCGGGGCGGGGCGTCGGCGATTCGCGAGGCTCGAGCGTCAATGTAAAGAAGGCTGCCGCAGGCGCCAGCTTCTCTTCAGCACGACCAGCCCGCCGTATGCAGCGATTCGATAGCCTTCAGTTCAGTGTTGTTGGTGGGTCAACCATGGGTCGCGGGTGAGTCGTGTGGGTCGCCGGTGGATCGCGGGTGGGTGGCGGGATGGTCGCGGGCGGGTCGCGGGCGAGTCGCGGGTTGGGTCGAGGGGTGGGTCGCCATTGGATCCTGGGGCGGGTCGTGGAGGCAACGACGACGACGACAATAACACAACACAGCCAGAATCGACACCACGGAGTTCCTTATCGGCCACGCGCCCAGGGACAATGTGAGACTGTTCGGCCCCTACGCCACGATACGCGTAAATCACTGCCAATCTTCGGGACTGCGCACCGCTGCGCTCCCACCGACCGCCCCAGCCGAGCCGCCGCGCCCCCTCTTGCCTCGCTGCCCCTGGCCCGCGGCCGCCCCAGCCCGAGCCGTGGCCCTCCGCAGGGCCCCGTGCGCCCCTTGGCTGGCCCCGCTCCAATCGGCGGGCCGCGCGCCTCTTCTGCCCTGCCTACGGATGGTCGCCGCGGGTGTGTTCCACACGGTCCTGCTCCGGAGCGACGGAACGGTCGCAGCCCGCGGTCAGAATGTGTACGGCCAGTGCGACGTGCCGGCGCTGGAGGGAGGCGTGACCTACACGCACGTCGCCGCGGGTTGGCTCCACACGGTCCTGCTCCGGAGCGACGGCACGGTCGCGGCCTGCGGCCAGAATGCGGAAGGCCAGTGCGACGTGCCGGCGCTGGAGGGAGGCGTGACCTACACGCACGTCGCCGCGGGTGGGCGCTACACAGTCCTGTTCCGGAGCGACGGCACGGTCGCAGCCTGCGGCCAGAATGCGCACGGCCAGTGCGACGTGCCGGCGCTGGAGGTAGGCGTGACCTACACGCACGTCGCCGCGGGTTGGCTCCACACGGTCCTGCTCCGGAGCGACGGTACGGCCGCGACCTGCGGCCAGAGTACGCACGGCCAGTGCGACGTGCCGGCGCTGGAGGGAGGCGTGACCTACACGCACGTCGCCGCGGGTCAGTACCACACGGCCCTGCTCCGGAGCGACGGCACGGTCGCGGCCTGCGGCCAGAATGCGGAAGGCCAGTGCGACGTGCCGGCGCTGGAGGGAGGCGTGACCTACACGCACGTCGCCGCGGGTGGGCGCTACACAGTCCTGTTCCGGAGCGACGGCACGGTCGCAGCCTTCGGCCAGAATGAGCACGGCCAGTGCGACGTGCCAGCGCTGGAGGGAGGCGTGGTTTACACGCACGCCGCCGCGGGTCCTCACCACACGGTCCTGCTCCGGAGCGACGGCACGGTCGCGGCCTGCGGCCAGAATGCGGACGGCCAGTGCGACGTGCCGGCGCTGGAGGGAGGCGTGACCTATACCGCGCGCCTGTTTGGAGTTAAGCTGCTCCTGCAGGCATCATTCGACGGCGTCTCACTGCGCTTTCTGACTTTGGGCGGGGTGGAGCGCTGCCGACTCCTGGTCGCCCCTGGTGCTCTGCTCGCAGATGTGCACCACCAGCTGCTGGATGAGAATGCCGCAGGGAGGCTGGGCCCTGGATTCGACCGTGTCGACGCCGTCTTGCCAGACAGGCTGCTCCTGAGTGAGGCCTCGGTCGACGAGACTGTCGCAAGCGTTTTTGGGCCCGCTCGGGGCGGCTAGAAGCAGAAACGCCTGGTTCGGCGGTCCTCGTGCTTTTCCTGCTTTGCCCATCACGCTACTCTTCCTCGCACCGCCACTCACCCTGGAGTCTCTTCTGCGGGCTTTACTTCTGAGCCTCTGCTTCCGAGTCAATGGTCAGCCGGAGCCACGCCAGCCAGGCAGCCTGTTCCCTCCTTCGCCGCACCATCTTCCTCCCTCATCCATCTCTCCCTCCCTGCCTTCCTCTTTCTCCACCTTCTCCTGCGCCCCTTCCATAATTGGAGAACTCGTCGTCTGACCACCAGGCGTGTTGGCAGGGCGCGCCAGGCATTTCGCCTGGGACTTCCTCCACTTCCATGACCCCGAAGCGTCAAGATTCTTATCACTTCAAGGAAGAAGGAGGGCTGCTTTTCAGAATGAGAGTCCTTCCTGAGGGCCGCGCGCGTTCGTCTTCAACGTAACTATATATCGAAGACGCCTACGGCGAATCACCGCCGCCCCCTGCCTTTTGGACCATGTGTTCCCCGAGTCGGTGTGGAAAGCGTTCAGGGAACACGGTGGGCGAAGCCGGGCCGACTTGGGCCTTTCTTGGGGTGCTCCAGGGCCGTCTTGGAGGCCATGTTGGGCGTTGTGGAGGCTTCTTGGGCCGTCTTGGGGGCCTCTTGGGCCGTTCTGGCGCCCTACTGGAGACCTATTGGTTGTGCCGCCAGTCCTCGGCACTCTAGGGCCACTTCTTGTAAACACCAAACATAAAAATAAGAAAAAATAAAATATGTGTCATAATCATATCATAGTATATGAAAATCATCTGACATATATATATATACATAACGCATATATATATATATACATATTAAAAATATGTATATATATATATATACATATATATATATATATATATATATATATATTATATGTCAAATATATAGCGTACCAGCGGTTTGCATTGCTTGCGTGGGGGGCATTGGTTGCGTTAGATCCATGCAGCGATTGCCGCGTTGGTTGCGTCGGTGGTACAGACTAGGTAAGAGATTCCGCTGCGTGGACACTGCGCATGGCGTTGCGTTCCATTGGTCCATTGCGTTGCGTTGCGTTGCGTCAAGTTGCGTCGCGTTGCGCTGCGTTTGCGGGGGCGGAGATGACGGAGCAAAGCGGTGCCGCGCATTGGAGGCCATTTTGGCCTCAAGGGGCGGGGGGGGGAGCTGGGCCGCATGGCCCTGGCTCTCCCCCTGCCCCTTGCGCTGCGCCCGCCGGCTGCCCGGGGCCGCGGCGGCCGCGCTGGCGGCGGCGATGAGGCGCGCAGGGGAAGGGCTCGTTGACTTAGGGGGAAGGGGGCGAGGATTGGCGGCCATGGGATGAGAAGGGGAGGGGGGGGGGCGAGCAGGACCAGACGTTGGGAGAGGGGGGGGGGGGAAGGAGAGGAGGCCAATGGGGGCAAAAGGAGACCGAGAAGGAAGAGAAGGGGGTTGGACGACGAGGCTGAGGAGGAGGGGGAGGATGACGGGGGGGGGGGGGCAGGGGGAGGAGTGGGGGGCACGAGGGGGATTTTGAGGGGCAGGAGGATGACGTGGAAGGAGAGGCTGCGGAGGAGGGGGGGAGAAGGTGGAGGCCGTTGATGAGATGGAGAGGGGGAGGAGGAGGAGGAGGAGGAGGAGGAGGAGGAGGAGGAGGAGGAGGAAGAGGACGAGGAGGAGGAGGAGGAAGAGGACGAGGAGGAGGAGGAGGAGGAGGAGGAGGAGGAGGAGGAGGGGGCGGAGAGAGGATGCGCACGCACGCCAATGCGTCAAGCCGTCGTGTGCCCAGCGGCCGCGTTACCGCAATCCCGCCTAGGGATGTGGTCTCGCGGCTTCGCGGTCACGGTGGCTTGGTGCGATCGGCGCGGGCGCGATGTCCACTCTGCCTCTCGCCCCTACCCCCGACGCTCGCGAGGCGACGGCGGCCGCGCGCGCCCACGCGGGGCTGATGCGCAAGGCGCGCCAGGTGAAGGCGAAGGATCCCTCTCACCTTTCACCTCCTTCTTCGCTTCCGCTCTGCTCCTGGCCCGCACTTCCTGTTTGTTTCCTTGCCGTCATTCCGATCTCCGTGCCTAGCCTCTATATTATATATCCTTGCCTCCTCGCATCGTCGTCGATCGTTGGCCGTCACTCGTCGATCGCCGATCGTCGAACGATCGCCGATAGTCGGTCGTCGATGTCGTCGTTGAGCCGTTGACGTCGACGTCGACGTCGACGCCGCCGTCGCCGCCGTCGGCCGTCGGGTCGACAGCGAGGGAGGCAAACGGACAAGGTTGATGAGGCCCCCCCCCCCCCCTCTCAGGAGCAGGGGCTGCAGCAGGCCCGCGCCGGGGGCGCCGCCGTCAGCGCCGCATGGGATTCCGAGCGCCTTCGCTCGGGGAACAAGGTGCTTCCCCAAGGCGCCCTGGGAGGGCGCGGCGGGGGGGGAGGGGGCCGCCGCCTGGCTTTCTTCTTCCTCCTCCTCCTCCTCCTCCTCCTCCTCCTCCTCGTCCTCCTCCTCTTCCGTAGCCATTTTGGCTCAAGATGTTTTCCTGGGGGGCTGTTCAGCCTCCAGGCAGCAAGGATACCGCTAGTCCGCGGCCAGTCTCGTCACCTCGGCCTGGTCCTCCCCAGGTCTGGACCTCCGTGCCAGCGCGCGGAGGCGGTGAGCTCCTGCAGGAGCATACTCGCCGATGGCGCCGCCGCCGCCCGTGCACCAGCGCAAGTGGTTCTGCAAGCACTGCGTGCACGAGCGCACTGGGAAGCCATTCCTCAACTTCGCCGAGAACAAGCAGTGCCACCAGTGCAAGCGCTCGAAGGGCCAGTGCTTCAACGGCTACGTGGCGCTCAAGGAGCCGTCGACGTCCACGCGTCAGCGGACTGGTTCGGGCAAGGGCTCCGAGCCGCCGTGGTCGTCGGCCGAGGTGCAGAAGCTCTCGGCCCAGGTCAAGCAGCTGCAAGAGCAGCTCAAGCAGGCCCGCAAGCCGCCGGACACCGTCATCATCGACGCGGACGGCGAGGGGGCGCCCGACTTGCGGGCCACTCGGGTCCGCCTCGCCGAGGTCGAGAAGGAACTGGCTGCCGCCAGGAGCTTCTCGGGGGCCGCGTGGGAGAGCCTGGCCAAACAGCTGGCGACTGAGCAATCGCAGCTGCAACAGGAGCTGCTGGCGGCCAGGCCTCAGAGCCAGCAGATGCGCATCCTCCTTCGCCAGATTGAGGGGGCCGAGCGAGGCCTTCAGAAAAGCCGCGATTCTCTCGAAGCCTCGCAGCGGAAGGTCGTGGAGATGCAGGCGGCCATCCAGAAGGAGAAGGCTGCCATCGTGCAGCAGGAGGCCGAGTTGGCGGACTTCCGGCGTCAGCAGGTGCTGCTGGTGGCCGCGTCGCCGCAGCCCGCGTCAATGGATGAGTGCCCGACGCCTCCCCAGGCAGTCCCCGTCCTTCAGCTTGACACGGACAAGCTTGCGGCGGTGCTTGACGGGCTCGGCGTCCAGGTGCCCGACCAGACATCCATGGTGCAGAGTCTGGCGCAGCAGCTGCCCCAGTGCACGGCCCAGCGGATGGTGCAGCTGGTGCCCAGCAGCGCCCCTGGGGGCGGTGGCGGAGGGGCAGGCTCGGCGGCTGCCGGCCCGCCGCCAGTCCCTGCTGCCCCGGCCATCTGGTCTGACGTCGGCGAGATGCGGCAGCGGCTCGCCGAGGCTGGGGTCCAGGTCCCCGAGTCCGACGAGGGCGTGCAGCTGGCCTTTGAGAGGTTCAGGGCCGCTGCGGTTACGACCATGTCCAAGGGAGCTGGTAAGGGGCCTGCGGGTGCCGCTCCTTTCTAGCTCGATGCGCCTCGTCGTCATGATGGCTACGGTCTTTCCGATTCTCGGCAGCAGCCCAGCGGCTGCGAGCACCTTCCCAGCAGTTGACGGTGCACCAGATCAGATGGCGCGCAGTCTGATGGGCTCTGCCGCGTCGTCGCCGTTTGTCTACTTCGCGCGCCGCTCCGACCTGCAGGTGGTCGGGCTCGATCGGAGCCCCGATGTCAGCTGGGTGTGGCTGCACGGCTCCTGGTGCTCGGCGGCGGCTTGCCCGGCAGCCCCGCCGGAAGCGGCCCGCCGGGCGGCCTTGGCAGTGCTGCCCGGCGGCTCTGGCGGCCTCCCCAGCGAGCCGGAGCGCCCTCGGGAGCCGCCGTCGTCCTCAGTTTTAACCCTCACTTTTTCTGCAGGCGCCCCCGGAGGCGGCGCCGCGGCCGGTGACCTTCTCGGCGCTGCCGAGGGGCCTCCAGGGTCACCGAGAGCCGGCGTGCTGCCGGGCGCTGGGCCTGGGCCCGGGCGCGCAGAGGCGCCCGCCAGGGCGCGGGCTGTGTCTGCGGCGGCGCCTGCGGCCCCCGGAGCGGTGGCGGTCGAGGCGTCGGTCCCCGCTCCCCCATCGCAGCTGGATGGAAGCGCCGCTTCGGCGGCCCCGTTGCTGCTGGAGCTGGACTCGTTGGTGCCAGCTACTCGGCCCCTGTCGTTGGACGCCCTGACCGTCGGCACAGTCAATGGCGACACTTGGGCGGGGGCCAGGGCGGTGGGGGAATGGCTGCAGGCCAGAGGGAGGCGGCCCGACATCCTGTTCGTCCAGGAGACCAGGTTTTTCGACGCGGAGGCCGTCGGCTCCGCTCACCAATGGTGCGCCAGGCAGGGTATGCAGCTCGCCCAGGGGCCTGTTCAGCGCACTGGGGCTGGCCGCATGGCGGTCTCAGGCGGAGTCGGCATTGCGGTGGCCAATTCAATCGCATTGGGCCAAGCCGTTGCGATTGACGACGTCTGGGCCCATCGGGTGATTGTGAGGCGAGCGCACCTTGGTAACGGCGCTACCTTGCTCCTGCTGTCCCTCTACCTCGTCACGTCCATCGGCCTGGCGGGGGAGAACATGGACATCTTGGAGTACGTGAGTGGCCTCGTCGGGCAGTTCAGCGAGCCGTTCCTGATCGGTGCCGACTGGAATGTGGAGCCGGAGGTCCTCTTGGCATCCAGGTGGGTGGACCAAATTGGCGGAGTGCTGCTGGCCTCAGATTCGCCCACGTGCGGGGCTTCGGAGTACGACTACTTCGTGGCCTCGTCTTTCCTCTCGCACAGGGCCGAGGAGCCAGCTGCCTGCTTCGACACGCCAGTGGGGACACACAGCTGCGTTTTGATGCGCTTGCAGAACTTCTGGACGGCCCCCATGGTGTGGGTCGAGGACCCTCGGAGGGCGTTTTGCCTGCCCAAGACGAGGGAGGCCTTCCTGAAGCTGCAGGCGCCGGCTGAGGCTCTTGAGGCCGAGACGGCCGAGCTAGCGGAGCCGCTGCTCGACCTAGGTATGGCGTGCAGCAGGTGGTTCGATTTGGCCGAGCGGCATTTGGTGAAGAAGCTGGAAGTCGACTCTGCCAGCATACGGCACTACTTGGGCCGCGGCAGAGGCATCAAGATGGCGCAGCGGCCGTTCAGCGAGCTGCACGTGGCCAGGCAGAGGAAGCTCGACACCTCGGGCACCGAGGCCTGGG